TCAACCTTAGGAAGTATTCTTGGGCCTTGGCTCTATCACGTTCTTGGTCACCGACTTGGCCACTGGGTGATTATCTTGACCTTTACCTACCTGAAGACACATTTCCTATGGTTGGAATCTACTTCTCCATGCTAAATAACATGGAAGCCTTCATGAAAACTCTGAAATGGACAATGATTTTTCATATATTAAAATTATGCCAGCTGTATTACGATGAGTGAGAGTACACTAACAGCACCATTTCAATGCTTGCTTGTGATGTGTGTGAAGTGCAGCAGAGTTGTAATTTTGAAAAACTCCACAGAATTCCATAAAATAGAGAGAATAAATAGATTGAGATGAGATATAATGTATCAGATAATAATTAAGAAATCACAAACCAACCTGACATGACATACCAATTGTTGCCTAACGGGTGTCAAGTTCAAAATGGGACTCACCTTGTCAACTCACCTTGTCGGGTTCCATCCACTACCACCAGTTGGCAAGGAAAAGGCTCGATGGATGGATGGAAGGACGGGAGGAACCCTGCTTCATATGGCGCGCCAGTTGACAATCTCAGGATACATCGTCATAGCATACACGCACATAACTGGAGTGTTGCGCCACCATTTAGACTAACATTGACTACATCGTGTTTTTACAATAGAATAGCAAATAGTAAAAAAGTGTTCATCATACAACTTACATATACTCGACGAGTCTATCCGGAATAGCTCCTACTAATCCATGTTTAAATGACTGAAGGTCTGGAGCATTAACAACATCTGGTGGTAGGCTGTTCCAGAGATGCACACATCTGTTTGAAAACGAGCGCTGTCTTATGTCTGTGTTGGCGTGAGCGACAGTGATCTTAAAGGCGTGGCCTCGAGTGCCGGTCTGGGGCTGAGTGAACATGGACTGCGGCATTATGTGACTCTTTCCATGGAAAATCTTCCAGTATTGGATAAGGTCCGCTCTTATTAAGCGTCCCTGAATCGAGTACAGTCCTAGTTCACTCAACCTCTCGGCGTAAGTAAGCTCGCGGAGACCTTGTACACGCTTCGTCCATCGCCTTTGAATGCGCTCTAACTTACGCATGTCGCCAACGAATCCCGTATGCCATAGACATGCCATAGACACATGTATTCAAGAACGGGCCGGATATGGGTTGTGAAGAGAAATATCATTAACTTCGGGGAACGGGAAGCAAGAGCTCGCAGGAAGCTGTGGCAAATCCCAGAGGCCCTCTGTGATAAGCAATCAACGTGTTCGTGAAACTTCAGTGAAGTGTCTACGATCACCCCCAAGTCACCGTGTGGGCCTTGGTGTGAAGTGGGTGTGGGCAGACGACGTCCGTTGACGGACAAACGCAAAATTAAGGTAGACACTGTGTATTATAAGATATTTTAACGAAACTTTCACCACATACACCTTGTTCTGTCGCCAGTTCACTGGTACTAGTGAATCTGAACCAGGGGTCCATGCCTGTCTGCCAGACGCACGTGCTCTCCCGCTATCTTCATCATCGATCGCGGCACCTCCGGGACAATTTTCTTGATGCTGCTCAAGATTCTGGCACGCAGCTGCTGATCAGATGACGCTGTCCAGCCACCGCGGTAGACTTCTTGTTTAAGTATGCCCAAGAAGTCCTCAATTGGTCCCAGCTGCGGGACATTCGGCGGGTTTTCCTCGCGGATTAAATATCAGATATGCCAGCTTCCTCCAGAAACTGGCACGTGGCACGTGCATAATGAGCTGAAGCCAAGTCTGGCCAAAATGCCTATCCACCCTTTCGGTAGCTGGCCTCGATGAACGGTTTGAGGTTGCTGTTCAGGCACTTTGTGATGTAGACATGGGCGCTAACATTTGTTGAACTGGGGCCAATTGTTGGTTTTGGTACTCCCTTGGGTGATATGGCTTTCCACACAAGAAGCGTACGTGGGAACTTCCTTATCGGACGGTACGTCACATTTGAAGGTGTGTCTCCACCAGGCCCAGCGTAAAAAACACGGTTTTGTGGTATTTCCGAGCCAGTGTAGGTGAAGTAGCTTTTATCGTCCATGATGACATCTTGTCTCGAGTGGCACTCAGTTTTCCCCGGCTAAGGGGTCGCAGGCGGCCCTTTTGAGATTGTTCTCGCTGAGCAGATACCTGAGGAGCTTTCTGGCGCATCCTATATCTTACCCCATCCTCTCTGAGAATTTGTCTCACTCTGCCATGCGTTATGCCAAAGCTGCGGCCTAAGAGACGAAGTGAGACGCCGACTTTGCCGTCTGCCATGCGAACAAGGTCTTGGCGCCTCTTTGCTGACATTTTGGGAGCAGGCCTGCCATTCTGAGCTCGTCTTGTGTGTCCTTTGTCTAGGAATGTATTGATAACGCGATATATCAGTCGATCGTGGAATACCAAGCGATTTAACGTGGCGGAAAACCTGAGCCTTAGTCAAGTTCGAGTTTTGTCAACTACTCTCGCGACAGTGTCTCTTGCGGCTTGCTTGCTCAAAGGCTCCATGACGACAGACCTCAATACGTAGCCACAATATTTTAACATCATGTTCGTGCAATTCATGTATGGACATTCTGTCCAAATTTCAGGTGAATATCTAAAGGGAGGTTGAAAATAGAGCGATTTCAATTTTGTCTCATTTTGGACTTGACACCCGTTATTTGGGATCATAAAAAATTGTTCCCAGGAATAGATTGCAAGCAATAGAAAATCTTGCCGGTAATCGCTCCCAAATGGAGATTAGAACTGCTCAGGTGATACATATAGATCTAAATACTGTGGGTATTTATCTGATAAAGTTTATTGTATGCACAGTAAGTGTATGCTATCCCAAGAAAGGTAAAGTGTGAAGATCATGGGATGATTATGGAATGTGAAGCTTGTGTGTGCTTTTGATTTCAATATCAATGCATCAGACAATGGCTGGTTGATAAGTGATTACTTTTCCTTCAAGCTTTTCTAGTCAGACCATGAATGCATAGGTACCTACCTACTTGGCACTGAAATGCATACATAGTTGATGGAACCAGGCGTAGAGGCATTCATAGGTCTATGATTTATGAACCAGGGTCACATGCTGAAGCCAGCTTGATATACAAAGGCTGTAAATTGAAATACCAATTTGAGGCTTTTTTAGTTAGGGGAAAGCGGGACAAGATGGGGATGTTAAGCTTCATGCTCACGTGCTTGCCAAAAAATGGACAGCAGCCGAAGTTTGTTGCTTTCATGATGTAGTAAAGGTACTTGGGCATCTTTTCCCATATGTAGTATTAGATGCATACTATTGTTTGAAACCCCAAAACTGATTTTTAAAAACATAGCTAGATCCCCATCTTACCCCACTACCAGGGGTAAGATGGGGATGGACATGGGGTAAGATGGGGATACATTGGTATTTTTTTTTTTAAGGTACAGTTTCATTTATTCAAGTGCATTGCGTACAAAAAGTGGACCTAGAGAACCTAACCCCGTCACGCGATGACCTGAAGGTCAGGTCAGGTCATTGAACTTTGATGACCTTGGTTCACTTATTCGAGTTGTACATGTTTGTAGGCCAGTTTTTGGAGCGGAATTCGAATTAAGCAACCATATGAACATTTACGAAGTAGTTTTGGTGCCTTCGTAACATGTTACAAAGCTGTCAGAAGCGGTTTACTACGAATACCCGGCAGGACCCCTACTGGTTGACCTGACCTGGCCTGACGCGACCTGGCCTAAATGCATGAAGACATCATCTGTGATCAAAACTAACATGATATTCGTGATCAACACCCCGAAAAACCCCATAGCAGCCACACTTTACGACGTTCTAACAGGTCCCGATTTCCCGACTTTTGGGCCATTGACCTGGCCTGGAAGGTCAACCAATGACCAAGGACCTTAAAATTGGGTATCATCGACTTCCTCTCGTCACGGGCAACACGCTCATTTTTTTACGCAAAGCTCTAGCTTGATCAGGGGCGAAACGGCAAAGGGGGTCCAACGGACCCCCCCCCCCCCCCTTTACGTTCGCGGCTGGAAAAACACCAATACCGGCGAAGGTTAACATCCACCTTGCCGCTAAAGTGGTAGGTGGTAGGTAAATTAAACGCCGTAGGTAAATTATCGGCGCTAGCGCGCCACACAACCAATAGGGAAACCACTCCACGGACAAGAGAGCGGTGATTTGGTAATGAAAAGGACGGTTCAGGTAAATGAAGAGCCATATTTGCTTCGCCATAATCCCACACACGCCCGTATGAGTGATTATCTAGTCAGAGCTTTTGCTTGCTGATTGTGAGGGGTAAGATGGGGATGTCCCCATCTTGCCCCAAAATGGAACTCCCCATCTTACCCCGGCACGTTCACAAAATGTTAAGGACGCCACACACACAAAATTGCACTATTTAGAATAAATAAAAACACACTGTTGACCACCATATAAATGCACCTTAGTATACAATCATCAAGAGATTACCTTCACTCACACTGAAAACCAGGAACTCGCTTTTCCAGACCCCGTAAATTCCGATCATAAACATACGTTTTCACATCCAAACCCATCAAAAATATTGCTGTGGTCACAGGGCCGCAATAATTTTGTTATTGTCGTTTCTGGTCTAAAGGAAGTAAATAACCCCAGTGATCCCGTTCAGTCGCCTCTGAAATTCTGTATTTCAGTACCTCCCCGTCATACCCCGCATCCCCGTCTTGCCCCGTCTTCCCCTACACAGCCTAAAAAAGAATGTGGCATTAAGTTGTAAGCAATGGTTCTTCACTGGGTTCAGTCCTGGTCAACTAATAAAGAGATATGCACTGCAGCATCTTGACTGCACTGTACAATTTACAATTAGTGCTGCAGGATTCGGGAGACCAAGTGGCTCCGAACAAAGTGATTCTACTCTTTTTGGAGCAGGATTATGAGTTGTTTAAGACATTTTACCTTTAAAGGGACCCTCCCACCTCCAAAAAGTTAATGAATTGGCATAAAAGTGGTGTCGCATGGTTCAGGCTTCAGAGTGAGCAAAAATGAATACCTATCATAAAGTAACAAGGGTGTACTGTACAATGGTGCATCCCCTAGCTCATTTGGTAGGGCATTAGAGCGTTCTCTAATTATACCAACACATTCATTTATTTTCAGGATTGATGTCTTCCTAGGAGCTCAGCTGTGATTTGACGATGTGGATGCCGACTCACATTCAGCTAACAGTACAGAGGGCCAGGGGCCTTCTGACCAAGGGAAAACATGGTGAGTGGGCTGCTACATGCAGGCTCAGCAGCGGCCTGTCAAAGCTCTGCTGCCGTTGGCTCTGTCCTTCTCTGTCCCAGTTTGTGCTGGGTGCCCCCCGTCGGTCGTGGGGGCCAGTTACCCAGTGTCCCAGTATCGTCTGAGTGTCCCATCGCTGTCCCAGTGTCCCAGTATCGGCCAAGTGTCCCATCGCTGTCCCAGTGTTTGGTGTGGGCCCAGCGGCGCCGCGCTCCGCTGCGGGAGAAGTGGCACAGCGTGGCACAGTGGTGGTGTCGGTGACGGCGCCGGGGTAGCGCCTGTGCTCGCCATCTCAGGGGCTATCCTAGCGCCGGGTAGCGCCTGTGCTCGCCATCTCAGGGGCTATCCTAGCGCCGGGTAGCGCCTGTGCTCGCCATCTCAGGCGCTATCCTAGCGCCGGGGTAGCGCCTGTGCTCGCCATCTCAGGCGCTATCCTAGCGCCGGGGTAGCGCCTGTGCTCGCCATCTCAGGGGCTATCCTAGCGCCGGGGTGACGCCTGTGCTCGCCATCTCAGGGGCTATCCTAGCGCCGGGGTAGCGCCTGTGCTCGCCATCTCAGGGACTATCCTAGCGCCGGGGTAGCGCCTGTTAGTGCCGGGGTAGCGCCTGTGCTCGCCATCTCAGGGACTATCCTAGCGCCGGGGTAGCGCCTGTGCTCGCCATCTCAGGGGCTATTCTGGCGCCGGGGTAGCGCCTGTGCTCGCCATCTCAGGGACTATCCTAGCGCCGGGGTAGCGCCTGTGCTCGCCATCTCAGGGGCTATTCTGGCGCCGGGGTAGCGCCTGTGCTCGCCATCTCAGGGGCTATCCTAGCGCCGGGGTAGCGCCTGTGCTCGCCATCTCAGGGACTATCCTAGCGCCGGGGTAGCGCCTGTTAGTGCCGGGGTAGCGCCTGTGCTCGCCATCTCAGGGACTATCCTAGCGCCGGGGTAGCGCCTGTGCTCGCCATCTCAGGGGCTATTCTGGCGCCGGGGTAGCGCCTGTGCTCGCCATCTCAGGGGCTATCCTAGCGCCGGGGTAGCGCCTGTGCTCGCCATCTCAGGGGCTATCCTAGCGCCGGGGTAGCGCCTGTTAGTGCCGGGGTAGCGCCTGTGCTCGCCATCTCAGGGGCTATTCTGGCGCCTGGGTAGCGCCTGTGCTCGCCATCTCAGGGGCTATCCTAGCGCCGGGGTAGCGCCTGTGCTCGCCATCTCAGGGACTATCCTAGCGCCGGGGTAGCGCCTGTGCTCGCCATCTCAGGGGCTATCCTAGCGCCGGGTAGCGCCTGTGCTCGCCATCTCAGGGGCTATTCTGGCGCCTGGGTAGCGCCTGTGCTCGCCATCTCAGGGGCTATTCTGGCGCCGGGGTAGCGCCTGTGCTCGCCATCTCAGGGGCTATCCTAGCGCCGGGGTAGCGCCTGTGCTCGCCATCTCAGGGACTATCCTAGCGCCGGGGTAGCGCCTGTGCTCGCCATCTCAGGGGCTATCCTAGCGCCGGGGTAGCGCCTGTGCTCGCCATCTCAGGGGCTATCCTAGCGCCGGGGTAGCGCCTGTGCTCGCCATCTCAGGGGCTATCCTAGCGCCGGGGTAGCGCCTGTGCTCGCCATCTCGGGTTATTTTACAGCGACACGCTCACTTTGTCTGACTGCGATAATAATCTAGATATGACGTTCGTTGTACTCAGTGTTGCATAATTTCACGTTTTTGTTTTAAAATGTTTGATGGCGTCACGATTTTTTAGATCTAAGGGACATCGCCGCATATAGTTTGTCATGTGCTTGGTAACTATTTGATAGATGCTGTTGTTCAGTGCCCACATGCTTTCACTGCTCGATATGACGGACGCTTTTTTCATCTATGGTGGCAGACTATATGTGTTAGTTGACGTAATGGATCACTGATGGATTATTTACGCCGACTAATGCAGACATTGCTATGTGCGTCCACGTCTGTTGGGTGACCACTGGCCCGACCGGTACCCCTGGCCCTGAACTGCGACCACAGACCATTCCGCCCGCCGCCAGGAACCAACGACTGCTTTGTGGTGATGAGCCTGGGGAAGGAGAAATTCCAGACTTCCGTCAAAGAGAAGGCCCCGCCGGACGTGACGTGGTGCGAGGAGTGTGAACTGTGAGTACACTAGGCCCTGTGGGCACTCGGGTCCATGTGAGGAGACTGGGTCCCCTCGGGCCCTGTGAATGCACTGGCTTAGAGTATAATGAACACTATATGAAATTATTAATTAGTTACGTTTATGCCACATGAGAGCAAGTGAACTGACGTTAACTTAATGTCGTGAAAGCTTTTCTGAAGCCATAGCAGCATGTATAGACGGAGTAGATAAATTATTTGAAAATTTTAGATTTGATATGTGACGACTTACGAATGTCAGAGTCTGTCGTCTACACAATGGTTACCACATCTTATTATGTATGATTAATGGCCTGCGACCTGGTCGGTCGATTTGCGTCTTCTAATCACAGTTCACTCGGATTTTCCCCAACTTTGGCCCCGTTGTCACGGGCGCTGGTGACGTGGAGAGTAGATTTGATGATTCCACTCAGCAGAGCTAGATTGTAAATCGATTGTAATTTAATTAGAGATAGAGAAGCTAGTTGTTGAGGCGCGGCACATGAAGGGGCCGGATGGAACCACTGGTGCTCTCATGTATAACTCGCGTAAAGTCGGCGACAGACGACGCTGTGTGATGTGTGGCGGAGACCTGATGGGTCGCTGCTGGTTGTGATGGAGACTGATGGGTCGCTGCTGGTTGTGATGGAGACTGGTGGGTCGCTGCTGTCTGTGCTGTGTGGCGGAGACCTGATGGGTCGCTGCTGGTTGTGATGGAGACTGGTGGGTCGCTGCTGGTTGTGATGTGTGGGTCGCTGCTGGTTGTGATGTGTGTGTCGCTGCTGGTTGTGATGTGTGAGGTCGCTGCTGGTTGTGACGTGTGGCGGAGACTGTTGGATCGCTGCTGGCTGTGATGATTCAGATTCAGATTCAGATTCAGATGCATTCGAATAAGGTCCACAATAAACGTGGCTTTTCACTCATTCACGTCTTATGTAGAGCAGACAGGGAAGCTGGAACACAAGAGACACTACGGCCACTCTCATTCTTACACATACGCATGCACGCGGGCGCGCGCGAGCGCGACACCAAAACACTGAAGCTCACAACGACATAGCAAATCGCTTCGCTTCAGCCCGAAAAGATGGAATGCCGGGCTCAATGCGCGAGTTATTAATGAGTGACATTCCGCGATAACAGAGTCGCCGCCTGCCTGCCTCAACTCGGATTGTTGGTAGGGTATAAAGATCAGCCCGTCTGGTGTCATGATTGTGCCGCTGACGCGCTCGCGGTCCAAAAGTCTGGAGTATGGCGTCCGGCTGGCCTGACCTTATTGTCCGATCGACAGCGCACATTGTATGGTAGGCCACAAGCTGCTTAGCCGTGAGCCAGCGAAGCTGCGATATTGCGTCAGAAATGTGGTCACATCGCCGCTTTCCTGTCACAACACGTGCACAGAAGTTGATGATTTTCTGCACACGGTGGAGTTGGGTCTCAGTACATGATCCATATACAGACATACAGTATCGCACAATGGATAACACGAGTGCCTGTACAATGCCCTTCACGACAGAACTGGGTATAACGTGGCGTGCATGGTTCAGGGCAATCAGGATCCCAGCGCATTTACGGGACATGGCGTCAATGTGGGCTTCAAAGTTGAGATGCCGATCAACTATCACGCCGAGGTTCTTAACTACCCTAGAATCGGGAATAGCATTTCCACAGAACTCAAGTGTAACAGGAGGCAGATGTGTAGTGTAGTGCCGGTGGAGACTGGTGGGTCGCTGCTGGTTGTGATGTGTAGATCGCTGCTGGTTGTGATGTGTGGGTCGCTGCTGGTTGTGATGTGTGGGGTCGCTGCTGGTTATGATGTGTGGTGCCGGTGGAGACTGGTGGGTCGCTACTGGTTGTGATGTGTGGGTCGCTGCTGGTTGTGATGTGTGGGTCGCTGCTGGTTGTGATGTGTGGGTCGCTGCTGGTTGTGATGTGTGAGGTCGCTGCTGGTTGTGATGTGTGGGGTCGCTGCTGGTTGTGATGTGTGGGACTGGAGGCCGGTTCCACGTATTCACTGCTGCGATGATCTCTTACGTCATGCCGGGTGAGAGGAAAACTCCGGCTAAGCTGGCACAACTGGTATCCATGCTCCGAGTGCTTATCTATCAAGGAACAGCCTTGGAGCGTGAAGGCCATTCTTAGCCAGATTAAGCGGCCTTATCTGATGGTGCGTGTACTTACTGGCAGTAATGAGGACGTGATCCACGCATTTATTTTGTTGGCAATACGTCATACCGGATTGAGGGTCAGTGTCCAGATCCTTCGGGGCGCCTAGCATTGCATTGGCCGCTGTGTATCCGCCGTTTTCATGCGGAACAGAGTGAGCCGGTGGGCGGAACCCCGATCGGTGCGGAGTCAACGGCTCGCTGACTTCTGCGCCTTAAATAATCCATACCTTTTCCGGAACGCCCAGTCACGGCCACATAGTTTTGAAATGTTTTTAATAAGATAGTGCTCCGTCTGGGATGTGTGTTCTTAACCTTAGCTGGGGGGTCCGTTGTCTGAAGTGAGTCGCAGTGAGTTTTTTCTCGCGACTACCTATGGCTATTGGAGCGTGTGCGATTGCTAAATTTTCCGGGCACGAGCTACGTGAGAGCGGTGGCCTGCCTACCCTCGGGCGCGCGACGCCACGCCACCCGGTAATGTCAGCTCTCCGTACATTACCCAGCACCTTGCCGTTTGCCATATGCAGCCCGAAGTAATAAAGTGACTGCATAAACTAGACGCGTTGTGGATAATTTTGTTATTGTTGTTTTTTGGCATGGTAATGCTAATCAAAGGTGGATGACAAATGTCCACGGTCCAGCTACGTGGACCGTAGTTGCATCCGTGGATCCGTGGATCCAGCATCCGTGGAGCGTGGCGGATTATTATGCCCCGATCTTTCAGCTACACGCCGAATCCATCCCGTGTCAGCTTCTCACCAGTCTCTGGCAGTGGGGTCGGGCGAGGTCACAGCGCTCGCTCGTCCCCGGCTGTCGGCCGGATGGTGCTAGGGTCCTGTGTGGTATATGGCGCTGGAAAGGCCCTGTGTGGTGTGTAGTGTACCGTCGCTGCCGGCCGCGGTGCGCCCGATTCCTCCCAGGGAGGATAAGCGGTCCGACCGCCGCGCCGGCCGCGGATCGGGGGAGCCCGGCCGGCCCGGCCGGAGTGGCACGGAAACGGTTTGGGGTGACGGCCGTGGCCGAATCGCCACTTGTCGTACCAGGCAGTGCATGTGTCGAGTACGAGCTCTGTGGCTAATCCAGCAGACATTTACCCAGCTATTTACCGGTGACGTGACAGCACTTCTCCTCCGGGTCTAATTGCGGTAGAATTCGGCGCTGTTTTACCGTGAAATTCCTGTCACTCTCCGTTACAATCGCTGCCGGCTGGATGCGGTTCGCATTGGTCGGCTCAGCTGTTGGCTGTGGCTGTGGCTGTTGCCCGTGGCTGTTGACTGTGGCTGTTGTTGGCTGTGACATGGTACCCCCGAGCGGCGGAAGGCGGACCGATACCAACACAGTGGCGCTAAACTCGCCGATATCCGCGACCGCACCAATATGATGTCGGCATGCTGACCGATATCGAGATCGTGTCCCTCTGCTGATCGATATCAATACTCCGTCGGTATGCCGCTGATACGATATAATGTTATGCTGACCGATATCGATATGTTTTCGTTATGCTGACCGACATCGATATTATGTTGGTATGCTAACTGATATCGATATGATGTCCGTACGCCACCGATATCGATGTGATGTCGGTATGCTGAACGATCGATATGCTTTTTGTGACCAATATCGATATGATAGTTATCGCGATGCTCACTAATATCAACATGATGTCGCGATTTCGATATACATGTCTGTATGCTGAGCAATATCGATATGTAGTGTCGATGACCGGCACCCCGCCGGTCGCTGCAGTGTGCCCGGGCTGGGCCGCCTCCCGCTGCAGGTATCAGAGCCCCCAGCCTGGTGACCGAGAGGCTGCCTCCGTGGTGACCCGCCTCCCTGGTCTTCCACAGCACCATCCCCCAGCAGGGCAACACGGCCGAGATCAAGCTGACGGTGCTGCACCGCAACTTCCTCGGCGTGGACGAGTTCCTGGGCCAGACGAGCGTGGCGCTCTCGGACCACGACGCCTACGAGACGCCCCGCAGCCGGTGAGCGAGCACCCCCCGCCCCACGCGCGCGCCCGGCACAGGTCGGCAGGGACGGGGCAGTCGGAGGGACAGGTCAGCAGGGACAGGTCAGGTGCAGGGACAGGTCGGCAGGGACAGGTCGGCAGGGATGGGTCAGCAGGAGGGACAGGTCGGCAGGGACAGGTCAGAAGGGACAGGTCGGCAGGGACAGGTCAGAAGGGACAGGTCAGTAGGCAAAGGTCGGCAGGGACAGGTGAGCAGGAACAGGTCAGCCCCGGCACAGGTCGGCAGGGACGGGTCAGTCGGAGGGACAGGTCAGTAGGAGGGACAGGTCAGTAGGAGGGACGGGTCGGCAGGGACAGGTCAGCAGGGACAGGTCAGCCCCGGCACAGGTCAGCCGCGTCAGGTCAGCCCGGTCCCCGGCACAGGTCAGCAGGGACAGGTCAGTAGGGACTTGTCAGTAGGGACGGGTCAGTCGGAGGAACAGGTTAGTAGGCACAGGTCAGCCCCGGCACAGGTCAGCCGCGTCAGGTCAGCCCCGGTCCCCGGCACAGGTCAGCAGGGACAGGTCAGTAGGGACTTGTCAGTAGGGACGGGTCAGTCGGAGGAACAGGTTAGTAGGCACAGGTCAGCCCCGGCACAGGTCAGCCGCGTCAGGTCAGCCCGGTCCCCGGCACAGGTACGTCGCCTCCCGGGCCGCTCAGCCTGCTCCGGGCGGGGCCCGGAGGTCGCCTCCCGGGCCGGTCAGCCGGCTCCGGGCGGCTCTGGAGGCTGACGTCGGTCCAAAGGAGGGTGGCGGGGAGGGGTGGTCGCCGGTCAACGGGTCAGGCTCATAGGGCTCCTCTGTGGAACAGGTGGAGTCGCCGGTCAACGGGTCAGGGTCATAGGGCTCCTCTGTGGAACAGGTGGAGCGCTCCGGCGCTGTCCTAATTATGCGGGCCTATCTTGGTGCGGTGGCTGGGAACGTCTGTTTGACGTCACGGGACATTGGTCTGTGGTGTACACATGGTCTTAGTTTGAAAATTTGTTTGTTGGTTGGAAACTGCCCAAATTTATGCAACAAGGAAGTGATTATGGAATCTCAACAATCGGGATTAATGCATTCACCGAAAAATATCAGATGAGCCGACGCAATCGGCACTGGACCAGAACACTGCGGCTTGTCCGGCTGATAGCGGGGGCCGGCCGGCCGGCCGGGACGCTATCTCGGGCCGGTGGGAATCTGGGCCTCACGGCGGCGCGGCGGGTCACCAAGGTGGCGCAGGGTGAGCCGCAGGTCAGCGCGCTCTCACAGCTCGGACACGCCGGCCCGCAGATCGCGGCGCCGGGCCGTCAGATGGCGGACGGATGACATGGTGATCCCATCTGATCTGTGTGCGGGCCGCGGCTATGTCAGTCGCGCTGAGCGGGCAGTTGGCGGCCAGATCCGCAGTGCCGCCGACTGCCCATCACCCCCTGGGAGCGGCCCGCTCGGCCCTTTGTCACACCAGCGCCGCGCGCGGTGTGATTGGCAGGTGCGGTGATCGTAGTCAGCGTCTCTGATGTGCCGCTGATGTGACCGCGATGCCGCTGGTGATCAGTGGATGAGACCCCGCCCGAGCGCGGCTGTCAGCGGCTTACTTACGAACGGCTTCGAACGGCGGGATATAGGGGATGGAAAGGGGCGGTGTGCGTGTGTGATCGATACTCAGGCGTCGCCACAGGCCCACCCATGAACCCTTAACCCTATTCCTGGCGGGCTCCGCCGCACTGTAGGCCGGCAGCCCAAAAAAGCGCTAGAAATTCCCCCAAACTGACTCTCCGCAATATGAACAAAATAGGTATCATTTAATCCCAAATTGATCGAAGAATACGATTTCGATGCCAGTTTTTCCCTAAGGTCAAAATTGAGGTCGTCAGTTGTCACCAAACACAAGACAATTTAGACTCTCTAGTGGCCACCACATTTACCGATTTTCATGATGATCTTTACTGGTAATTTATTAGCTGACCAATCGTCGTTTTGAACGAAATTTCCTCACAGACTAGTTTAGGGCACTGTTGTTCACTGTGCCAACATCATTCTTACATATTGCATCGCTTTTCTGCAAGATAAGCTAGCTTTTTGCAAGCAGCTGCAAGACGTAATTAAAAATCATATCTAATTTTTTAATTAGACTTTTATAAAAATGTGATTTCCAGCAGCTAAAAATGAACATTTTATACTAGCCTCTGATTACTCATCTTTCGTTCCATATAGGTCCTTTGCTGCTTTTCCCTGCTACTTTTCGAGATATGCGCCAGTAAACCACATGATGTAGGGGCAATTGTCACTTCGCCGCTCTACTGAAGGCCCGGCGCTCTTTAAAGCGCTGGAAGTTTTGAAAAACAAACGCGTATAATCAGAATAAAATATATGTCCCTGAGCTCAGAATTGATCAACGCACACAATGCTGTGAAAATTTTTGGCCCAAACTAAACAAATTCAGTGTTATTAACCCCCAAACACAAGTCAGTGATAATCAACAACAACTTGCTCTTTAGTCAGACTTTTTGAGAAATGTTATTTCGAGCCGCTAAAAATGACCATGCCATACAAACCACTAATCATCTATCTGTCATGCCCTACTCGCAATTTTTGCTAATGCCTGCTACTCTTCGAGGTCACGTGACCTCACCAATAAAAGTCAATGGGGAAATAAGGAAACTGTTGTTTTTGCGCATGAAATGATCTCAAACTATCTCAAGCACACGGAATCGTGATTTCATGCACTCCTTGCAAGATCCGATGCTTTACTTTTGCATTTTTGACCTTCCGTGGCGTCATTTATGACGTCACTACGGTCATAGGAGTTTCTCGTCAATAACTCATGATCAAATTGAGCCAGCGACTCGGGAAAGCCACCAATGGACTCGGGAAGACCTCCCGAATCGAATGATATGCAATACGACTTCCTTCGATTAAGTTCGTGGCCTGATGGGCTCTGAACTGACCTTGACTCGAGGTCAACACCTTAAGTTGACCTCACCCGGACAAAAAATATACCATTCGACGCGCCTGAGCCAGGCGAACACGATGGTGCCAAAATCGCTGCTCTGCGGCCATTTTTTGCGAAATTATTTACCAAAAACTAAACCCTACCTTGGGCTTTTTGACTTCACCTCAGAGGTTACCGGTTGACCTGGGACCTTAAAATCGGGTATCAATCGTTTCATCTTGAAACGGCACACACGCTTGTTTTTTCCGCGAGGCTCTAGCTCCATTAGGGGCGAAACGGCGAAAAGGGGTCGTACCAACCCTCCCCCGCGGCTGGCCGAGGGGGTGGGGGGGGGGGGGGGTGGGGGTCCGACAATAGGTCCGGCGAGGGTTAAGCAGCCCCACGTCGTTTTTAGCATGTTTGCTTGTCACTGAGATCAACAACTCAATCACAGATAATTTCTAGCACTTTTCCGGGCCCCCGGCCCAGTGTGCGCCGGGACAAGAAACTGGCGGGGGGGCCGATTCGGCCCCCCCCTGAGATCTCGAGAACGAAGCAAGATAGCGACAAGCGGTAAACGGCATCGGATACGCATGGACAAGGTCTACAATTTTTACTAAGGTCATTTTCAGGTCAGATCAAAGATGACGTCACAGGGGTCGAAAAAGTCAAAATGGCGGCGCTAGATATGGAGAGAGTTTTTCTCGAATAACTTTCGAATTAGTCAAGATAGGAACAAACTAAGGGCATCATCGTGATCCTCTCGTCAATCCGCATCGAATGATATATGTTGACCTCGAAAGGTCAAGGTCAAAGGTTGACCTCAGGTCACGTGACCTCGAGGTCATCATGTATATCATTCGATGCGTCTTGACGAGCTGAACACAATGAGACCATCCACGCGTCTGTATCTTGTTCCTGTACGGAGTTATTGGCCAAAAACCTTTTGTGACCTTTGATGACGTCACATGACCTCACAGCTGCCCAACAGCAAAACAGACCTCAAGGTAGTGAAGGGTGATCGTATATGAAGTCATGTATGGTATATGGGGCCATTCCGACCCGTTTTAGTGGTAAAAACAGGGAGTTGATTTTTCCCCCATTGACTTATAATGGGGAGGTCGCGAAACTGACCTGACCTTAGGTCACCGATATCAAAATTCCGAGATATACAAATTGCACATACTGGTACCCTAACTAAAGCCTGAAGAGAAGAACTTGATCGGTCAAAAACTCTAGCTCTGGCGTGATTGCAAACTTTTCTGAGGTAGGGTCACCAAACCGCCTCTGGTGACCTGACCTGAGGTCAGATCAACTCAAAATTTTCAGACATGTTGCGTAGAAGCCTTTTAGGAAAAGTCAGAAAATTTGAGCTTCCTAGCTCAACGCGTTTGGGAGAAATAACCAAAAAACCTCAGGGGGGGGGCTCCTGAGGCCCCCCCCCCCGCCAGGAATAGGGTTAAACGGGGCTTAAAGTCTCCCTGGTGCACGTTTTGAAAGCGTCTTTTTAAGTATTCTTTATTTTTGAAAGTCCATTTAGGACATTTGTTGATTGCCTTGTGGCGCTTCCATATACCTACCCAATCGTCCCGGCCCCCGCCGAAGTTAGTTGGTAGCACTGCTGCTCCACGGCGTACATTTCCTACCAGCCCATAGGGTTTACATGTTAAATGGCCTGTTTTCAGCGAGCGATATCTCGGTCAACCTTTGAAGGAATCAATGGTTCTTAGTCTCAAATGATAGATCGATGAATTTTCTTTCGACAATTCCTCTACCATTTTTCACGAAACCCAGCCGATCTTCTACGGCGTACAGGGTAAAGATTTCTCTGCACGCCAGCACCCGCGATCCGCCTCTCCTATCGTCGGCGCGCGGTCATCGGTAGCGCAGTCGGTAGCGTATCGGGCTACGGATCCGAGGGTCGTGAGTTCGAATCCTGGGAGCGCCGCGTGATTTTGGCCAGGGTTGGATAAAAGCCGGCTTAAATTGAATTTATGCCAGCCAGTGGTTTAAACCGGTTTAAACCGGTTTAAACCGGCTTAAATTAATAAAAACCACCTTCAGTCAA